CGGCCCTTTTTCTCCCGTTTAATGTACTCGTGGCAATCCGTGCTGTAAGCGTCAGCGTGCGCCGCATACCTGCATTACTCCCAGTGACCTGGGGCAAGCTTTTCGCAACCTTCCATGCGCTCCCAACGCATTATCCGCTTTCCCTCGCGCCGCAGACCTGCATAGCATCCAGCCGGCAAGCTCTTTCAACATTTTTTCGGACGTCGATCAAGGTCGTGCAGAACAGTGAGACACGAGCTCTCGCTTACAGGCGGTAGGTAGCGAGTTGCCAGCAACGCGGGTTCGGTATTGTGTAAGCCTAGCTATAACGCCCGTATTAAGCGTATGTGCGAGGCTTGTACTCATCCTTCTCTAATCTTCGGGAACAATATGCGGAACACCTGGACTATATCAAGGGTAAACAGTGATACCCCATATCCCCCACTCGTTCTGCAGACGACCCGGTGCTTAATCGTGATGCAAGCCACCGGACGTTTTGCTGGAATCGTCGCTGGCAAATTGCAGTCTTGGTGTTTTGAACGGTGAGTTTGACGATGCGAATCGTCATCATTGGCCAGCCGAGTTTTAGCCGGAAGGGGATTGGTGGGAAAACTAGCGGCCTGCCACGTGATGCCGTTGGTCCGTCGCGGTCGCGCATCCAGCCCTGCAGATCCCAACGACATCCTACCCATCAACACCTGCATCTGCATATACGAACACTCCACGTTGTATCCTGTTTCTAAACATATCTTATCGCGTTCCCTGCTTACGGGTGTCGTTCATCCCTTCCGTTGCACGCGAGGCCTGAGCCACGTGTTTACGGTGCTGGTCCCCGGGTTCGCCAGCGGGAATGTCGGCTAACAAGTTGTATAACCCGGATCAGAGCGCTGTGAACACGCGTTGGATAGAGCCCTGGACTGAGGCATTCAGAGTAAGTGTCAGCTGTCTGCACTCCGTGCATTCATCAGTGAAGTAGTCGCACGGTGTTGGGGTTGTGTTCCATCACACGTCCATGCGCGGTCTTCGTGGCACCATTCCAGATCCGTCGGCTCATGCTCGACGTACGCAGTATCAGCGAACAGAATCGCTGACTGATGGTAGGCACAACGAGATGTAGGGCTTCAACTTCCCATCAACTTCCATACTACGCCAGCTGTATCGTTAGCTCAAGCCTGCTTCACGAATAACCAGTACGAACATAATGCTTTCCAAAAGTGCTTCTCAAACTTGTTAGCTGTCGGCTTTCGACAATTCACAGTCGATACTTACTGGGATCCGCTACGTTCAGTATGGAGTCTATGTCCAGTGGAGTTACCCCAGTCGAATGAAGACAGCTCAGATGAGGGTGCTTTACCAGTGGCGACGGGACCAACAGTGGTGCCTACAACTAACAGATTGAGTGCGGATACTCCTCTATCTACACTGGAAATTCCTCCACAGCTTGGAAAACGCCAGGAGACGTTGACATCGGCTCTTGCGTCTGCAGAGTCATCATCGGGCTCAACAAACACGGTATCATCTACCCCATCTTCGTCTTCTACATCGTCGACGAGTGTAGCAACGCCGACCATAATCGACTTCCCCACCCCTAATGGACCACCGCTCCTGCAAATCGGGAGCTACAATTGTACATCTCTGATGACGCTGGATTTGCTCACGGGTATCGTAGAGGACTTTCTCGAGATTACAGCTACTACGACTGATGCTGAGATAACCATGTTCACGTTCAACGTGCATGCTGCCTCGTCCATCACCGATCCGGACGCCCCAGCACCGAACCTTGCGCAAGACCAGCTTCCTGAAGACGGGCAACTCCTTAGTGATGTGTTGCAGGGTAATCTTTCTGATAACACCCTTACGCCAAACGCCTTGGGTGACCAACGTGCAAACTTAAATAGCTCGTGGTACGACGTTGATTGGTCTAACCGCCCATTGATTGGTTACTACGATGACTCCAAAAATGCCGATGGACAGCTGTTCACACAAAGTGGATGGCCTACAGAAGCTTTCATGGAGTTCAAGCAGCTACGTCGGGTCGTCGTTAGTTACGGCACAATCGATCCGCAAATGGACAAGTACAACTTCGGACCAGATCTCGAATACGTTTTCCCTCCCGGAACCATCATCGACGAGCAGTCGGTATCGATAGGCTCCGATGGGCGTGTAACTTCTGGATGCTTGTTTGCGTCTTCCGACAACACCTTGACTTCAACAAGAAACTCGTCTTGGGCTCTCGCTGATGCACCATCACTTGATATTAGCGCGACGCCGGACTTTCAGTCAACTATACCTTCCATTACCAATCTGACCGCCTGCGGCATCACACCCTTCCTCAATCAAACCCTCGCAAACACAACTGCAGACAAGAATCCTTTACCCTACGCCGCATATGTACACTCAACACTATGGACCTTCGCACCTGGCCAGCCTCTCAATTCCTCTGGAGAAGGCGATGACACAAACGACAACCGTTGCGTCGTCATGATGAAGTCGCCATATCCACAGCGCTGGCGCATAGAAGACTGCAACCAACGCCATCGCGTGGCCTGCCACGATCCACGACAACCCTATAATTGGCGTGTATCGGACGACTCAACCTACTATGCGAACGCTGAGGGCTATTGCCGGGACCCATATCAGTTCAGCGTACCTCACACCGCGCTGGAAAACTCACATCTTTATTCTGCCTGGCAAGCTGCCGCTCCTGATGAAGATGCGCTGTACATCAACATGAACAGTCTGAGTGTGCCGGATTGCTGGGTCATTGGACTCAATGCGACGTGTCCATATCTTCCTACTACTGACACCAACCGTACGCGTATTGTCGTTGTGCCGACAGTTGCGGCTGTAATTATCTTCTTGCTGGCTGTGCTTACCTTTTTCATCAAATGTGCAGCGAACCGGAGAGAGAACAAGAGAGGAAGAAAGAGAAGATTAGTCGACGGTTGGGAGTACGAGGGTGTTCCTAGTTGAAGTGAAATGGCTTTTGGCATGTTGCCAGGTTTGGTGGTGAGAATACATGTAATGTTTTACTTGGCCGCGCACACGTTGAGGCTTTGCTTCACATTCCCATCTTCAAGTCACTTAATTCACTGCAGACATGCAAAAATCTGGAATAGCATGATGACCCCACACAGTCAATGGCGGATATGGTGAATGGCGCCTTCCTGCCAGGCTCATCATTGTCAGTATATCCACAATCCCCTCGACAAGGTAGGCCTTCCATCGTCAACCAATCACTGACATCAACCTCAAGAGCATGTTGCGCAAGTTCTCATCCAAGATCGCCGCTCATCGCTCAGCTGAGTCGCCGAAGAACAGTCCGCAGTCCTCATACCAACCCTCTCACTTCTCGACCCCAGCGCGAAAACCATCGTTCCACGGCTCTCGCTACTCGGAACTGCCACCGTCGGGCTCCGTTCAAACGCCACGCTCTTCAGACAGAGCACCATACTCTACCACCGGTACGCCACGCGCATCCGATGGCGCACCTTACTCCGCAACACATACATCACACTCCTCCTCGCAACCTCCCAGATCTCTCACCGAGACACCACGCTCCTCAGCCTCAGCACCTCGTCCCACCATAAAGCACTACCTCAGTCCACCTCCACCGAACATCCCCTATGACGAAGCCGCATGGGCCAAACACGACTACCTCCTTTACTCCGTCTCAGCCCGCGCCTTGAACCTTCACCGCATGACACTTGATATAGAAGCCCGATGGCGAGCCGCCGAAGCCGCAACACCCCCCTCGAAACAATACACCATCGGTCGCGCAGCACACATTCCTACACTAGTAGAAGTACATCAGTTATTAGCGCGGATCAATACACTGAAGAGTGAAGAGCGACGATGGAGAAAAGACTGGCATCCGAGGAGTCCGATGCTAAGGTATCCCGCTTGGGGGAATGTGTATGGCGAGGCTATGGGCGTTAGTACAGGGGAGGGAGAGGCGCCGTGGGATGTGGTTCAGAAGCTGGATGCAATGGTTGAGGGGTTAATGGAAAGGGTTAAGGAGATATGACGGTGTTTATTACTGTCTAATATTTAATTCATTCGGGCGCATGTTCTAATAGAATAATTCCGCACCGGTCTCAAAAGCTTCCTGCAACTTCTGATGTAGCTCTATCACGCCCCTCATCGGGGATATTGGCTGTTCATCCATCGTTAGTCCCAAAGCCACTGCGTATTTCGACTGCGCTGCTGGTTCAGTGTCCCAAGGATGTTCTGGTCGCGCAGCTTTTCCTTCGTCATTGCGGGCCCACTCGTAGAGCTCCCATGTCCGCTCACAGAGGATAGCGTACGTGCGAAGAGTCCTCCGTTTCTCTCTGATACTGGCTCGCTCTTCGCGATCGTTACTGTACTGGAGGCTTCGATTAAGGCGCTGGTGGATGGAGTCGACTCGCGATAGTATTTCGCGCGCTATTTCCCAGCTTCCTTCGAGGACCTGGTCGTGTACAGGCCACATGAGGTTAGACATCTTGCGGCAAGAGTTTGATCGAGCTTTTGTTGTGTTAGTATAGATCAGTGAGTGGGCTATGTGGTAGCGCGAGTGTGAGATAACTCTTATACGTTCTGGAAACTAGAACGCTCAACAGTCGTGGAATGAAGTGATCTATAGACTACCCAGAGCATGTGACTAAGTGTTCGCGAAAGCGAAGCGCTGATATCATATGTTGCTGTCACCTATTAGATCTAGCCACAGGCTGACATAGCTACTGAATGTCGCAAATTTGCTGGCAGTTCATGCGACACGTGTGTATTGAAGTTTCCGCTGCGATGCGCTTTACGTGCGCATATGCGCCGCTGGATTAACGCTTCAAACATCGGCTTTTGAATCTCAGGTATTCGTGGGGTCATAGTATTGGCTGCTAAGTAGTTGTGGTCTGCAAAGTTTCATGTTAAGCCGCAGTAGATTAACTTAAGCCTAATCAAAGATATACTTACTGTGCTTCGCCTGGCTCCATTGGGTATCTTCCTTTTGTATACATTCCTTCCTATCTCCTCCAAACGCACATTTACTTCCTGCGTGCCAGACCCAAAAGTGACGCAAATGGGTCGATACCATTGATCATCGGTATGGGCTTAGGCTTGGGCTTGGGCTTAGCCTCTTCCTCCTTCTCCTCCTTGATGACCATTGCGGGTAACCTTGAAGGTAGCTTCACGATGATCTTCTCGCGAGTCGCCTCTACCTGTGGTATGTGCCTGCTGGTGTCTTCTTCGTCCAGCTTCTTCATCTTCTCCTTTGTTTGTCTCAGGCGCTCAGCGAGACCATCAGCATAGCCGAGTTTTCTTCCTATCTCGATGCCGCGTTGCATGTCGACCTCCTTGCCCTGATCTAACCCTGTCTTCAAGCCCTCCGTTTGCCCCTGCTTGAGCCCGATAGCCAGGCCTTCCGTCATACCAGCGCTGTGGCCTTCCTTGATTCCTTGGATGTGTCCGTCGTCTTTTCCAGCATCGAGGCCGCGCTGGAAGGCTTCTTCGCGAGCTTTAGGCAATAGATCCCAAAGGGAGTCTGTCGCCGCGTCGGTCTGCGTCGCGCGTGAGGCTGTCGTTGCGGAGGTTTGAGTGGACTTTGAGACCGAATCATCTGGTTTACGTTTAGGAAGGTTCTCGTAGATGGCGTGGTCATACATACTGGTATTGAAAAGACCCAGGAGCGTTTGGTAGATGGTGAGCTGACCTGTTAGCAAAGGTAGGTGGCTTGGCATACGTTGGCTTGCCTGAATCTGCTTCAGCTGTGCCTCATCGAGGTCTTCATCCTCTTGCTGAATGCCAGCGAGGAAAGTCTCGAGCGAGACGCGATGTTGCTCGACCTCATTGGCCTGGCGAGCAAAGTCGAGCAGACCTTGCAGGCGGTCTGTTTTGGACATCACTGGCATGGCGCGAGGTCGAAGATGATGTTGAGAAGGCAAGAGTGTGATTTGGGTGGAAGGAGCTGTGAACAAACGCGGGTCTTGGCAGTAGTCAAACGGGCAGGCGGTATAGAGACGGCTACACCTCACATCGGTCACCTATCAGATGCTCAATCTCATTGACGTCTCTAGATACTGTTGAGGCATACATGCTCCTGTTGCTTGAACTTATTGCGGCACATCGTGATTCACGACTTCGACATTGTTTCTAAACCTGTCAGCCGAATGCAGTTACCACCAACTGGCGACGACACTTACCCAACAGGATCCACTACAAAGGCAGCGTAGTAGTTTGGATGATACGGTCTCAAGCCCGGCTTCCCATTGTCTTTCCCACCGGCTTTCACCCCCTCTTGATGGAACTTCTCAACTCCATCTCGATCCGCGCATCGAAATGCGAAGTGTGTCGCAGCTGCTTCAGCGTCGCCCTTGCCGAAAATCCAGAAAATGGTGTTCAACCTGTCTGGGCCTAGGCCAACACCCTGCCCACCAAAATCCATCTGTTTGCTGTAGCCGAGCGGTGCAAGCGCCGCCAGGTACCAGGCCGTGACTTCCTCGAATCGCGACGCTGGGACGGTGAGGCCGATGTGATCCAGCATTGTAGGAGATGGCTAGGTACTGGAAGAAGAAGAAGTGTATTGAATATCTGTTGGAACTGGAGAGACCGGATCGGATAAAATTGAGTGTATCAACTGGATGACTACTAAAGGAAACTTGGGATGAAATTCTCTGCTATATACCCGAGCGCCGAGCGGTTACGTGGCTATAATCAAGCCGGCTTGGCCAATATCAACGGACTCCAAATTCGACAATGTTTTAGGTACATACATGGGCTTAAGGGGACGACAAACTTCACCATTGCTCATCTATCACAGCTCATGGGAATTGGAAATCTGGACGGAGGCTGGCAGCTGGGTCGTACTAGTCGATTCCATGCCCAGTAAGCACCCACGCTGTCAGCTGCTTTCGCGATAGTAGGTTCCAGTAGAGCTAACTGTCTCTTTTCTTTCTTTGCGACACAACACTGGTGTGCAAAGAGGCGTGATCGGATAGAGGGTGGTTGGTGACGGCGCAGGGCTTACGAGGGATCATGGCTTAGGACGGAGTTGAATGACTTCTGGCTTTCCAGCAACCGGGGAAACGCTCGGCGCTTTGCAAGTTTATCCAAAACATCCTAAAGAAGAGACGGCAAACATGGAAAGGTTGAAGGAAGAGGCTACGACGCGGGGTCGCGGAGTCAGATACCTTGCTGACGCTAACAGCCCTGTCGATCATCCCTGACGCGTCGACGCGTTCACGCGTTCGGACGCTCTAGACACCTCCCAGCCGTCGCGTTCAACAACATCAACACATCATCCAACCATGCCAAACAACAAGAGGATCAGAAAGGATATTAGGCGAGAGACCACGATCGATCGCGAAGAGCGCGTCAAGATAAAGATCGAATTCAATCTCAAACGAGTTCAGAGGCTCGTCCAGCTCCCGAGGACCGACATCGTTCATAAGGCGCTTGCCTATCATCGAGATCAGATCACGCGCCTACACAAGATTCAAAAAGGATTTATCGAAGAGAGGAAACGCGTCCGCAATGCAATGTTGCTAGAGATAGAACAGCATTGTTGGACCATGATGCAAGGACATGGCTTTGATGATCTGCTTACTTCGGATGATGCCCCAAACCGCGATCCACCCAATCTTGGAGATCAAGACCAAATGGCCATCGATCAACCCACGAACAATGTCGCCAACGTCCAATTCGATTGGTCGCAAACTTCCAGGGTAGTGGAGTTGATTTCGCATCAAGAAGACGAGGAGAGAGCTCGTTTGACAGCCGGCCAACCGCCTCATGATCCGTTTGCGCCGATCGAATTTATTAGCGATAAAGCATTCGCTACTCTGCCACACCAGCTTGTCCTGTTAGGGCGACTTAGGACTACGCCTCAACTAATAGACGCCTACCCATACACAAAGGCTTATCTAGAGGAACCACCACTCGACAGCAACCACGATCGCTTGCAGAGCTTCCGAAAAGATGCTATCTCAGCTATCGAGGCCTACAAAAAGCAATGCGAAGCCGAAATGAAAGATGTACAGTCTACCGAGAAGCAAGAAGTCCGGGCCCGGATCTCAAACTCAAGCAAGCTTTGGCCAATGGACAAGTTCATACTGACCTTGGCGACATTCATTCCCCAGGGCTCCTACACCACATATGCGGCCATACGCGAGTGGGCGAGTGATGCTGGAAACGACCTAGATGACGAGGAACTATGCTCAGCGCTGAGGAGAGCAAGCCGAGCTTTTGGCATCAGGGAAGTTCCCAGCTATCGCGTTATCAAAGCAAACAATGGGCCAAATCAGACTGGCTGTGATTGGGGTGATCATTTGCCTGATTTCCAAGAACCGACGAGGATTGAGCTGTTTGAGCACGACAAGATCGAATTTGATAAGCAGAGAAGGATGCTCGGGGGTAGACCGTTCACATTCTACAAGTTCCGGGATCTGATGAGGGGCACCACGATGGAGGAATGGGTCGACAAGCTCCCCTCCCGCCCCTCCCAGTTCGAAGGGTAACATCCATCCTTTTTGCTTTGGAGAGGAATATGAGCGCGCCATGCAGTGTCGCCCTCCTCAACTACAACATATCACCATGCAGTATCGTGGGTGCGTCCGCTTGTTGGATCGGATCGAACGTCATGCTGAGCGCCTATTACCATCCATGCGCTGGACTGCTGCTTGAAGTTGGCTAGCATTCGAAAGTGCTCTCATATATCCAGAAGCTCTATGCAATACCAACGATAAGCGATCACTATCACCGCAAAAACCAGGAATACATCCTAGGGGCCGTGTGCAGGACATCGATTAATCTCCACCAACACAACGACAACCCGGTACGACGGCTCGGAGGTTTCATCCGCGCCTGAGAGAAAGGAAGGGGGTCTGTTTCTGGCTATCACGCTCCATCATGTACTTGACTTTCCCTTCGACCAGTCAACGTGTGCACCTCGTGTCTTCGTAACATGGCACACTGGTTGGAGATCATGGCGCAAAGCATTTGACTTAGCATCAGCAGAGATAAGGCCTGGAAGTTCAAGCATCTGACCTGTGCTCTCAAGCACGTCCACTTGGAGACTGATCAGTTTTCTTCTAGATAAGATATGACGACGCGTACTTCGAAGAGCACGTCATTGCTGTGAAGGCCAATGTTTGGAACGACGTTACGTACATCAACGAGCCATTTCAACCTCATCTTAAACTGGATTTGTCGGATCAAACTAGATGCAACGGGGGGGGGGAGGGGGGCGTAGATAGTCTTAGATGCCATGGTTTACTAACAGACGGAGGGGCACGAGGAACTATGCAGCTTCGCCTCCATACTATCTGTGCCGACACCGCGAAATACAATCAAGCATCTCTATGACCATCGTGTTCCTCCAACTCTCGCCTCTTGCGTATATGCTCGCCGTAGATACCCCAGAAACAAGCGAAGATACCCAATATACTTGATGTGAGAGTGACATAGTACGCCGTCCGGTAACACGAGAGACCCAGCTCACATCCACGTTGACCATCCGGTTCAACTACCGAGTTGGAGTCGTACACTGCACCGTAGAAGAGATTGAAGACGTTTCCGCTGACGACAGGTGCCAGAGTCATGAAGCCCCAGTTGACGGCGAAGCCATCAGGACCGAATGCATCAACCACGAGCGCTGGGAAGACGCCAAATAGAACGCCATATGCGAGTCCGGAGAGTCCGGATACTGCCCACAGGAAGTGGGGATCCTCAACGCGAATGGCAGCAACTTGAGCCAAAGCAAAGATGGTGGCAGAGATGGCAGCACACCAAAAGCGTGAGTGATGCAGTCGCTTGACAATAAGATCAGAGCCAATGCCTGAAGACAGGCGTCCTAAGAAGGAACAGAGCGAAATTATGGATACATGCCATAGCTGACGGTCAGCGACAAAGGCGTTCTTGACGGAGTCGTCCCAATGTTTCCAGAGGGCCTGAACGTCGTGACCGATGTTGCTGCACTAGTCAGTGATGGCCACGATGAATATCTGGAGTATACATACTTGATTGTCATCAAACCAACTCCAGATAGGAGACCCATGAGTACCCATAGTTGCCAGAATTCCGGTTTGTTCAGAAGTGCCAAACCAGTGATATCTACACATGAGTGAGCCGACTTTTTGCTTGCTGCGTCGTCGTCATTGTCGATGATGTCGCCAGGGCCAGACGAGAGAAGTGACGAGGTCTCGGTTGAGGGACGGTCCTGTTCTTCTTCGGCTGCTAGAAGTGGTTGGCAGGTGACAAGGGGAAGATAGAGGTGGAATGAAAGCATCGCTTACTGATTTCTTGCTGTGGAAGAGCAGATGATTTGTACTTGGAGCCGTTGGACCTCGTCTTATGGAGGACGTTGGAGTTGCGTCGCGTACGTTCGCTGGTGGGTAGCACAGCATAGCCGGTGCCAGCTTTGTGATCGACGACGATGAGGAAGGGTATCGATACCAGAACGAGTAGGGAGGTCGCAAGAGAAAGCATCATGAGCAGCCCGGAGGTATTGCCTGGGAATGCTATGCCGGCGATGAGTGTGTAGAAGAAGGCGCTCAATCCGAAAGCAGCCAATGGGCAAGCGGTGGCCGATCCACGATGAGTAGGCCAGTTAAGTGTCGCTATTAGTGTTAGCACAAGTCTCCCGAAGGTTGATGGGGGTATTACCCGTCTTCAAAGCAGCCTGGAATGCAGCACAGCTGCCCACACCGCTGAAAAAGGAACACAAGGATATCAGGCCAACGCTCATGTAGCCTGGACCTCCATCATACGCTGGCGACAGTCAGCCAACAATCCGGCGAGCAGGTACGAGGTATCCTACCGAGCTTGATGGGATAGTAGCCAACGAAAAGCGCGAACATGCCGATAATCGCAGCGAGTCGCGGGCTTTTCCTATCCGTTATGATGCCCATGGGTA